GCCTCTGTTTCAGGTCAGCTCACTCCAAAATGCCAATTCAAGGTCGGCGTCTTCCTTCCTTTCTTTCTCCTGCCCACTTTTCCCTGACCTGGTCATGACATCCTGTCCTGTGTCTGGGTCACATCAGGCCTACAGTGTTTTCTGAAGCAGCAGCTCCTCCCACAACCCCAAGCTAGACATGAAAACAGCGGACTTGCCCCGGGACCCTCCTGGGCATAAGGCTACGACATACATACCCCGTGTGGGTGGAGGGGCCGTGCGCAGAAGTCAAAGGCATGCTCCCTCGGCACGAGCAGCATCTTGCCTGCAGAGCTAAGCCTGGCGCACAGGGGGAGATGATGGCTAGTTCATGCTAAATGCCAAGTGAGTGGTTCAGAGGCAACAAAGACCACCTGGAGTCAGAAGTGGGTTCAAATCCTGCGTTGGCCACTCACGAGCTGTGTGGCAAACAAGCTGTGTGGTCCTAAAGCTGTCCGGGCCTCTGTTTCCCCACCTGAGAGCCAGGACAGTAGCAACCACTCTGCAGGATGATTTTAAGCATCAGAGGTGATGGAGGTGAAGGAGCCTGGCGCATGGTCACTGTGATTACAGGTGTCACCGCGGTCAGTGGCGTTGGCACAAGGTGGGACCGTGAGCTCGTCTCACTGGTCAGCGGAGCTGGTCATGGGTGAGTCCGCTGGTCCTCTGGGCATTCACCTGTGAACGCAGGGACCCCGAGGCACCTGGCCTCTAGACCTAAAGGACTGAGCTGCCTTTCAAGCGTGGGAGTATCTGCGGGATGGGGGGAACCCAGGAAAAGGTCAGGGAGCACTCCCACAGTGCTAGCCTGGACAGATGCTCTGCGCACAGCTCCGGGGGTGTTCTCGAGACGGGCCCAGGGACCCTTTGATCTCCTATGGGTGGCCCTCTCGGATGCTGGGGGGCGACCCGCCTGAGAGGCAAGCCAGTCCAGCTGCGGGGCTAGGAGGCTGAACCCCCTTCTCCGCTGAACTCTTGGGAAACTCTACCTCATTCCCGCCGGCTGATACTCCAGTCTGGGAAAGCTAGAGCAAAGGACAAAACCAACACTCCGGGAATTCCAGATGGGAACCCACCGTCGCAAAAGCACATATAGCAGAGAGCCCTTTGGGACCTAACAAATGGTTTTTGTGTTGCTGTTATTGTTTATCCCGTGCTGGCGCTTACACAGGGCTGGCGTGAAGGGAGGTCTCTGCGGCGCTCGACAACACGTTGCTCTTTCAACCTGTGGCCGCGGCCACATCACAGAGGCATGGGTTCTGGAGGAGGCCAGCAGGCAGGACTGCACGGCATGCAGGGCACCCACATCAGGTCAGGAAGCAGCAGGACCCGTGCCCCTGAAGCCCCCTCGTGCTCTCAGCTACGACCCCAGCCCCAAGGGCCCCTGAGCTCCCTCTGTGCATCCCTTGCGTGTCTGGCTTCTTTCATCCCACGCTTCGTGCGAGAGCTGCCGTATGGTTGTATGTGGCTATTTATTCGTTGTTGCTGTAGTGTGGGATTTCCCAGCCTCGGCACTATTGGCATTTGGGGCCAGATAATTCTTCGTTGTTGGAGGTGAGGACCGTATTGTGCCCTGTAGGATGGTTAGCAGTATCCCTGGCCTCCACCCACCACATGGAAAGTAGAACTCCTTCCCAAGTTGTGACAACTCAAAATGTCTCCGACATAGCCAGGTGTCCTCCGGGAGGCCAAAACTGCCCCTGATTGAGAACCGCTGCTAGGGAGTGTTCTGTGGAATGAATATGTCACAACTTTTTTATCCACCTATCGTGGCCATTTGGATTGTACCCGGTACTTGGCTAGTAGGAAGTGAGGCACTGTGAGCACTCTCAGACGTGTCTTTGTTGGACACGGGCACTCATTTCTGTTGGGCGTCCGGGAGGAACTGTTGGGTTACCAGGTAGGCATATGTTTAGCTTTAATAGATATTGCTAAACAGTTTTCCACAGTGGCTGTTTATACTTCCCACCAAGTGCCTCTGTGTTCTGGTTCCTTCACATTCTCACCAATTGCATTGAGTTTTTACTTTGCATTTATCAGACATTAAGCAACTTGCCATATGGATCTTGGCCACTTGGACATCCTCTTAATGAAGTGCCTGTTAAAGTCTCTTGCTCATCCTTCTATAGGATTGTCTGCCTTTTTTTTCTTATTGATTTGTAGCAGCTCTTTATATATGATGGATAAGAGTCCTTTGCCAGATATATGTATTGTAAATATCTTCTTTCACTCTATGGACTCAGATTTTTAGAATTAGAGGCAACCTGTGTTCCTCCAATCCAACCCCTTGGTGAGCTTGATTATTGTTATTTTTCAGTTGTCCTTTTTGCAAAACAATAAATTTCATAAGGGCAAAGACTGTGAGTCTGCTTTGTTCACCTTAGAGCTCCCAACACAGGGCCTGGTGCAGAGTAGGTACAAAATCAATATTTAGAGAGTAAAAGAATGGGTGAATCTCCCATTGGGATGATTCTCGCAGCCTAAGGTTTCAAAGTGTTTGGGCAGTTGTTGATTCCCGGGGAATTCTTGGTAAAAAGTGAAGAGACAGGCACCCGTGTGCTTCCCTGTCCCCCCTGCCCGCCCCCCACCCCCCCCAATGTAACAGCCAGCTCCTGAGTCTGCCGTTCCTTTGCCAGCTGGAAGTCTGCCCACCTGCACCTGCCCTGAGGGAGGCGGGGGCCTCTCCTGGAGAAGTCACATTTTAATTAACTTCCCCTGCAGTCACCGGAGAGGCCAGATCATTTTCATAAACAAATGAGAAGCCAGAGCTTTGTCTGCAGCTCAGAGTGAGTCTTGCAGAAGGAATTCAAAGCAAACCACCTAGCAGAGGCTCTGTGCCTTTGCCTGGAACCCGGAGCTCCATCCCTCTCAAGGGAGGTGGGGCCTGGATTTGAGATGGGGGAGAGAAGAGGGAGAACAACGTGTAAGAAGAGAACTGATAGGGTCTCCAGGGAGGCATTTCCTTCCTTCCTTCATTCCGTCCTTCCGCCCCCATTACCAGCATCTACTCTGTGCTGGGCACAGGAGAAAGGGGTGAGAATAAGGGGAGGCAGGGGGCAGAGGGGCAATCTCTACACTTTCTGCTCAATTTTGCTGTGAGCATAAAACTGCTTTAAAAAAACAAGGTCTATCTTTAAAAAAAAAAAAAACACTAAAAAAAATTAACCTTAAAATACATAAAGACTGAGAGCACATTCTACCAGGGGAGACAGACATTAAGCTGATCATCACGCAATTAATGACTTAATTACACTGCTTTGTAATTTCCAGTGGCTTTACTGAGATATAATTCACATTCCATACAATTCACCCAAATAAATTGTACAAAGCCAGGGGCTTTTTGCATATTCACAGACTTGGGAAACAACCATCACTACCACGAATTTTAGGACACCTCTCAGGCATCACCCCCACACCCTAAGCCTTCCATTCCCGTCTCCCTCCCAGCCATAAGCCACCACTAATCTACTTTCTGTCTCTATGGAATGGACTTGCTATTTGAGACATTTCACGTCAATGAACTCATGCAATACGTCATCCTTGGTGACTGGCTCTTTCCCTGAGCGTCATATTGTCAAAGCCCTTCTGTGCCGCAGAGGTGTTACTGTGTAATTTTGAAAGTGCCCTATAGGTAGAGCTCAGCCACCGCCCCCGGATGCCATATAACAGGGAAAGTTGTCTGGACTGAAGGCAACCCAGGAGAGCTTCCCAGAGGAAGAGGTTTTTAATCTCAGGCATTTATTGAGCACCTGCAATGTGCCACCAGGAAAGGGAAGGCAATGCACATCATGGTTCTGGCTGTGTGGGAATTTAAAATCCCGGCAGGTTGGCTCGTGGGTATTTGTTTAGCTGGTGGATCTGAGTGTGGGCTGGAGATGGACAGCTTGGGTTCAAATCCCAGCCTGACCACTTCCTCCTGTGTGGCCTTGAGCAAACCGTCCAACTTGTCTATGCCTCAGCTTCCTCATCTGAGAAATGCGGTTGGCGATGGGGTCTGCCACACAGGGCGGTTGTGAGGACCCAGTGAGAGACGCATAGGAAGGACTGAACATTGTATCTGGGACTCGGTCAGAATCCAACTAGGGCTCAATAAAGCAGAGAAGGAGATGTTCTAAGCACCGTACAGCATAGGACCTCTGACCTCAGGGAGCTGCTACTCTGAAGAGGGGCAGTGTAATCTAACCTAATGACTAAGAGCCCTGGCTGGGGGCCAAACACACCAGCACGTGAAACCCAGCCCATCCCTTAGGAGCCAGGGATCATGACTGTCTCTCTAGGCGTCCGCTTCCCTGTCTATAAAATGCGGGAGTCGTGTGGTCGGTAATAGGGCAATTTTATTCCTCCAACCCCCTTCCTGGGGGCAAGGAGGAGTTCACCAGAGACAAAGAGAGTGAGGAAAGCCATCCAGCCACTGGGAAGGTGATAGTCGGCCTTGTCACCATAGCTCCCCCTGCAGGTGAGGATTCAAGAAGGCATCGACATCCTCCCAAGCTACAGTGAAGGCGATATAAGCCATCTTTGGTAGGAATGAAGAGCCAGGTAGGAAAGATGCCTCCCCCCGCCCAACATGGGCCTCCAGGTGAATCTCTGAACCGGGCCTTCCAGCATATCTGCGTGGCCGAGTCACATCCAGCTCCAGCCAGGCAGATCTAGGCTGGACCCCAAACGCAGCTCCTCAGGGCAGGGACTTGCCCTGCTACCTTCCACTGGACAAACGAGCCTCCTCTTTCAAGACCTCAGGGGCCGTCCTGACTTGACTCTGCTCGCCTGTCCCTCAGCATGAGCACCCTCGGCTGACTTCTCCAGCGTGTGTCTCAGGGTCCCCCTCAGGGAGGGCTCTGTCATCCACAGCCTAGTAGCCCTGCCGGTCACCCACAGGGCCTGGGGCCAAGCGAGCATCCGACGACTGCCGTGGCTGAGTCTGGTATAAGTGCTTGGTCTGGGATTCTACTCCTCACCTCTTTCTGTCTTTCCCCAAACAGGCTGAACTCGGGAAGCCCCGAGAAAGAAGCTGCAGTCTGCCTGGGATTGATTTTAATTATGGACTCTACACCCGGGGGCTGGACGGAGGGGTCCCCGAAGGTGAGCAAGCAGACTCTGCAGCCCTAGGGGACTTGAGCTCTCACTCCAGGCTGGCCACTGGACAGCTGGCCACACTCTGGGGAAAGAGCTGAAGAGTCACGGGGTCTGCCCCACAGCATGATTCTGGTGGAAACCATAGTCAGGGCTTGGCCGAGATGGGGAGGTCCAGGCGAGGTCCAGGTCGAAGGTAGCAGAGAAAGAGCAAGGGCCCCAGCCAGTGTGGAACATTGTCCCCAGGCAAGACTGTGCTCTGCGCGGTGTGAGCTTCGAGCACGGAGGGGGCTCAGGACCAACCCTCTGATGGCCCCGAGGAGGTAAAGGCCAGGCGAGCCCAGCTCCTCAAAGGATGCTCAGGAATCTCTGGGAATCCTGACCCCTCCCTTTCCAACAGGCCACGCAGGGCTGTCCCGCAGCAGGCTCCGGGTTAATGGGAAGGTGTGCATGCCCAGGTTCTTCTCAGTCAGGTACCACCGGTTGCTTTACGTCCCAGACTGACTGCCGCACCACGGTGCTGTCTCTCCCTGCCCTCAGCCATCGGACACTGGAATGTGTTTAAGCAGCAGCCCACCTGCCCCCACGAGCTGACCCGGAACTACATCGCCATGAACCGCGGGGCAGTGAAAGCCGGCCTGGTAACTGCTCGGGAGAATTTCCTCTACCGTCAGCTCAACGACATTCGTATCAGTGACCAGGATGACCGGCGTGTCAAGAAGGAGCTGCCCTCTCTCCCACCAAATATGACGTTTGGGACCCTGGCACGGTAAGGTGGCTGGCACTCAAGGCTAGTCTATCGCTCACCATGGGCGGGAGGGCGCTCAGAGGTGACTGAATTAGGGAACAATGTGGGGCATGACTTTTGACTCCAGACAGGGGCGAGTGTTCCAGGCCTGGTCAGTCAGTGTATCTCACAAACCTTGGTCACGGTGATTAGTCCAGCAGCAGACATGTAACCCATGTCCCCGCTCTGGAAGGCATGACATTCTACAAAAGCAGAATGTGGTTGCACGTAAGCAAATCTCAACTCAAACCGCCTTGATGTTGTTTGTTTGTTTTTTTTCCTAAGTGGAATTTACTGGTTTATATGACTGAAAAGCTCTGGGGTATAGAGCTTCAGGCATAGCTGGATCTAGGTAATCGAGGGATGTTATCTGTATTTGGTCTCTCCATGTCTTGCCTGTGCTTCCCAGTGCTGGCTTCATTCTCCGACAAGCTTCTTCCTCAAGTAGCAAAATGACCAGGAACAGTTCCATTCTTGGTGGGAAGGGCGCAGAAACTTCAATAGAGACTTGAGATTAAGATTCTTTGGTCCAACTTTAGAGCCTTGCCTCTCCCTGAACCAACCACTGCGAGTCGGGAGTGTGAAGTGCGCTGATGGGCCAGTCCTGGGTCACATGTCTGCCTCTGAACCAATTGCTGAGACCAGGAGATTCTGATGCTCTGATTGGCCAGGTCTGATCCCCTGCCCGCTCTGGAGTCAGTCTCCACAATCCGCAGGGGCAGGTGGTGGAGAAGATGCAGAGATCGAGGTTCTGACCCCAGAGGGAGGAGGGCGGAACGCAACAACAGACAAAAGCAGCAGATGTTCAATACAGTAAAAGCTTTCCTAACCCAAACTATGTCACAGTACAAACATCACAAAACTCACTGGTATTTATGCCTCGCGCCGTACGAATAAACAGAAGCACTCGAAGCTGGCAAAAAGTGGCCTGGAGCGTCCAGCTGCCCTAAGCCCCACCCAAATGCCCGAGACCCAGAAGCCAGTATCTTGGTCCATCTGTGTGGACCAAGCCACCTTCCCGCCCCCATCTCACTGTTCCTGTATAGGTGACTTCCTCAGGCTCCGCCACCATTGCTTGCTTGCTTGCTTGCTTGCTTTTTCTCTTTTCTTTCTTTCTTTTTCTCTTTTCTTTCTTTCTTTCTTTCTTTCTTTCTTTCTTTCTTTCTTTCTTTCTTTCTTTCTTTCTCTTTCTTTCTTTCTTTCTTTCTCTTTCTTTTTTT